CACACAGACACACAGACACACACACACACACACACACACACACACACACACACACACACACACACACACACACACACACAGTATTGTAACCAGATCCTGTAGTGTGATGTGTTTCTTCAAGGAGCTCTCGTGGGTCTCTTCACTCGACCACGTGCTGCTCAGGTTGTCAAAATCTACTTAAAAACACCTCACACACACACACACACACACACACACACACACACACACACTCTATCTTGCATCCAAACCCAGCCCACTCTGTACTCACCCCTTTGCTGCCACTTTGATCAGTTACAGACATGTTTCATTTTTCATACCGTCCCCTGTTCCTCTCTTCCCCTCCCATCCCTTTCCGTAATCCTCTGTTCTTTTTGTCTCCTGTCTTCACATTATCACTCCTCTTCTTCTCCTTGACCTCATCTCCGTGCTGTCTTTCTCTACCTCCTTCCTTGCCTCACCTCAACACCTCTCCTCCCGTCCTCCTTCTGCTCTGCATGTTATCCGTCTTGATGAAGTGAATGTTTAACATTTTACTTGTTGTCTTAAATGGCTCTCTGTTTACTTTTAGAAACTAATTGTGGTTGAAGTCAAGACAAATTTCCACCAAAGTTTAGAAGAAAGATTTTTTGTACTGTACAGTGGTTGAAAGTAAATAAGTACTACTCAAGTACTGTTCTGAAGTAAATTCCATTTAATGCTACTTTATTATTTTTCCTCGCCATAATTCAAATAGAAATGCTGGACTTTTTACTCCATATGTACGTAGTAGTATTTGTAATTAGCTCTACATTGAACCTACCTCCAACATTTAATTACTGCTCACATATTAATGCAAGAACAATCATAATCCAATAATATATTAAGTTATTCTGCATCATGAATTTATGTAGTGTTTGATATGTAACGTACATTTTGCTAGTAATACTAATAATCCCTTATTTTACTAATGCTAATACGGCCGATTCAATGCAAACCATTTACATGTAACAGTGTTTTTTTAAAGTAATAAATGTAAGTATTTATTATTTTTACAATATTATATACATTCAATTGGGAGAGAAAAGCGAGAGAGGAGGGAAAGGGGGAGTCAAAGCAAATGGATTGAAGGTGAAAACACTCGTGGTATGTTAGTGGTGGACACCTTACTCTCTCAAATATCACTTGGATGTTGTAAATCCCTGAAAAGTGCATGCACTATATTTATGTAAGAGGAGCCGAGAGACTTTTGGCCTTGAAGGCGACATGATGAGTTATGTGTGTGTGAGAGAGAGAGAGAGCGGTAGACACAGCAGAGGTCAGAGGTCAGAGATGTTACTGCTTAACACACCAACACACTGTAGCAACAGAGCCTAGATTAATGGCCGCGTACGCGTCTGTTTGTGTGCACAGTTTGCATTGGAGCTCCTCAGATATCTGTATAATAATTAATCAATCACTCACACACACACACACACCTCGTCTCTCGCCCGTCCTCTGGCCTCCCCTGCTGTTTTATGGCCTCACCTGCCACGATAGAGGGATGACAGCCACACTCAGCGAGAGGGAGGAGAGGAAATGGGCGAGGGAGGGGAGGAGAGATATGGTTTCAGAGTGGATAGAGGGGGGAGAGAAGTGAGTGTCAGTTGAAAAGGAGAGAAGAGATGAAAGACAAATAGTGAAACAGGTCCATAGAAAAGGGAGCGAGAAAGAGAGAGACAAAGAAAGACAGCCACACACCAGATGTGCTCACTCTGCATACACAGTCACTGGTTCGTTCAGTGGGTGCAATGTGAAAAACGATGTATGTTAATTTACATGTTCAGCTTGTCATCAGTTGTTCAGAGTCTATTTTGTGTTCTCTAACATACAGTACATGTGGGTAGCATTTAGTATTGGGAATCGTTTTTATCGTATTAGTTTTGGTGCAAAACACCAGTGCCAATATCAAAACATTTAGCAATATTGTTATCAATATCAATACCTTAATTTGACAAACATTAACCCGTTATCTTTGTAACAAAAGAAGTCACAGTTCTCAAAAGTTAATTGTTGGCTATACACAAGCTGTCTTTTTATCATGTCGTTGAAATTTTAGTTGTTTTTTTTTAAATTGTAGTTATGACTTTGTGCTCAATCTCAGGGTACCTGGATTACCGTGTGTGGTGAAACCATAGACTGTATATACGGAATCGATGTAGTCATTGCGATGTCACATTGGTTTGTAAACTATGGTTTTGAAGCCTCGAGTTCTGCATTTTGGCTATCTTGGTTTTTAGCCATTAGAAATAATGCCAGTTTAAGGCACTTCCTTATAAGCTTCACATTTCAGAAATGGAGGTTGCCTCCTGGCTATTACCAAGTATCTCTCATTAGTTGAGGACCAAATTTCCGATAAATCGGATTGCTTACAACAAAAGCTTGTTGTTTGATGTTTCTTCATCTATAAACTATTCTTTTATTCGCCATCTTAAACACAAAGAATAACTTGAAAGTGATTTTCCATCAGCTTTTCTCATCTTCCCCCAGCAGCGGTTTTGAGAACGTGACCGCTCTGTTTGAAGTGAAGAATAGCATCCTCATTCTCTCCTGCAAAGCAATTCAGCAGATTTCCTCCGAAATCTGACCTGGTGGCAAACATGCAGTTTAGTGGTTGATGTAGACTCACTGATGTCACATCGATTTGAGGTTAAAGTTGTAGTGAGATAAGTAGAGGACCACCCCAAACAGCAAACTGACAGGAGTGTAACTGTATGGAAACAATAAT